GGGGTGGCGGCTGAGGCAGTGCCAGGAGTGTGCTGAGGGTTTAAACACGAAAATTAAAATGTAAAGGCGGACACTGCTGCCTTGTCAGCGGGATTTTGCCGCGGCTGGTGGCAGTGCCTGGCTCCGAAGCTGTCACACAGGCCCTCACTGGCCTTCTCAAGCTTGGTGTTGGTTCATGGTTTCACAAATCTTGTTACTAAGAAAATACGTGAATTAATAAGAAATGGAATGACATTGGGAGTGCTGCCAGTTCCGTACCTGCCTTCCTGAGATGTCTGCTGTGCTGCTTGTCTAATAATAACTTATCAGATAAGTTGTGTCTGAGTTAATTTCTCTGAAATCACAAACATCTTGTAACTTCTTCATAGTTACATCATCTTTCATTTTTTTTACTATTTCCTTACTGTCTCAATCCTACTGTCAGACACATCTTTCAAGTACTGCATGCAAATGAAACTGCATAGCAAAGTGCTTGACATATGGGCTGTACATGTATATCACATTTCATGAAATTTAAGTAACTCAAACCCACTTCAAGCCACAAAAATACATACTTTTTTTAGGGGGGTTGGGGTTTTTTTGTTTGTTTGTTTTGTTTTTTTGAAGATTATGTCAGTGCATAGAAAGGGTTGTCTGCTTCCTAAGAGACAGGGAACTAAGGGGACTCCTCAGGCCGGCAGGCCCCCACCAGCCAGGGATGGTCCCACTACCCCCAGCCAAGGAGCAGGGCAGGCCGGAGCAGGGGGACAGCCAGGAGCAACCCAAAGTCCAGATTACTAACCTGTTTTTGATCGACAGCCAAGTCTGAAGTCAGTCCGTGGGTCAGGGTCTGGATCAGCAGGGTCCATCCATAAGCAAGCACAGGTGAGGCTGCAGCTGAGTGAGAGAGCAGCACTCCTCCTGCACTGACAGCCCGGGACTGGGCCAAGGTGGAGTCCCCGGGCAGAGGCTGTGGGTGGGGGTCCCAGGTGAAATTACTATAACCTGCTCTGTAATTGCCCAAATCAATAGGGAGAGTTGTTAGCCTTACCAGGAAACCCTTCTCAGTGTGGGGAAAACTTGAGACACAGAACAAGTCCACAGGGCACATGAGTGTAAATCATCATGTTTCCCACAGGGATTTTGGCTAGCAGGGCTGGGCAGATGGCTTGCTGCCATGTTGGTCTGTGCTGAAGGAGAGTTGGACCCATCACTTCCTGGGTTGTCCTGGTGACAGCCACTTCATCCCAGTGTTTCTAGTTCCCACTCTGGGCCCCCACACTATTAGTGATTTGCTAGGAACAGCATTCATTTTTGATATAGCTTCCTAGCCTCGTGTCAGCACCTTAAAAATCTCCTAATGCCTCCTTCTCAGGAGGCATGCACCAGCAAGCCTTGGCAGGCACTGCAGGGCCATCACGGTGACACCTGCCTTCACCTGCTTACAACTGGCTCCTCCACAGGGTCTCAGGGAGGTAAAGATGGTGGTGAGACGGTTAACAGGGGGATATTTGCAGAGACAAGATCTCTCTGGGCCTGACTAGCACTGATCTCTCTGCTTCATTGGGTTTGGCAGCTGGGCATGGCACCGGGCAGCCTGGCTTTCCCCGTACCCCACTGCCGGCTGCAGCCAGACAGGGGCTGAGGCTGTGGCTCCCCGCAGGCTACCCCTTACCCAGCCTGGGTTTGAGCCAGAGCCCCACCTGGCCCGTCACATGCCATCACCTCCCATGCACTGGCACAGTTAAGATGCGAGACAGGAAAGGGGCGTGCAGTTCTTTTACTACTGTCAAACCTAAACCAGCAAACCTGTCTGGGAGCCTGGGAATGGTGGAAAATAGTGCTGAGGCTCTCTGCTTCCCTCTGGCCCAGCAGAGCTGGCAATGAGAACACAAAGCAATGGAGGGGAGCATGCTGTGTGTGCCCTGCTCACCCCTCTGGCTGCCCAGCCCTGCTGCAGCCGTCCCCCACCCTGCTGCTCCCCAAAATGCACATTGCATTGCACTTGCACACACCTTAGGGTGAGGGGTGCTGGTACCCCTGCCCTCCCAGCCTCCGCAGGCACTGCTGGGCAAGCACTCACTTGGGGCAGGAAGAACTGAGGATGGTCTTCCTCACCAGCTCCCATTTCTGCCCTTTTGCTGAATTCACCTCAGCTGATGTGCAGATGAAGAGGCTGGTTTGCCACAGGAAAAAAATTGACATTTTGGGTGTCTCCCTGGAGAGCTAGGAAGAAGTGTAACTTTCCCTTCCCTGCTGGGCTGAGCTTCCAAGTGTGCCGAAAAACACTTTCCTTGCAGCTCTTGTTCTTAGTTCCTGCAGCACTGCATGGTTGCGACAGACCCCTGAAGCTCTACAGTCTGTTCTTGCAGGGAAACTTCATGCCAAGCTCATAAATCCTCAACAATCCATCAGTGAAGCTCTTCAGTGTAACACTATGGCTCAACAAGGACCTCGGCAACCTTCCTTATGTTTTTGGGCATCATCTGTGTTCTTTCTCATTTTGTCTACACAAACCCAGGAGTTAGTCATGGTCCCACAAAAACCCCCCAAAACCAAAAAACCTGCATTTTTCTTAAGTTGTGTGAGTTTTGGCTGACAGAAGACTTGAATTCTTTCCAGTTTATACTGAGGGCATAGAAAGACAGGCAGCAGGCACTGTCTGTCTGACAGCGTGGGGTTCTTGTTTGCTTTTTTTCTTTATCCCAGCATCATGTCCTTGGATATTTGTTTGCTACATATATTTGCTCTATAAAACATATATATATTTACTATAAATTGCTATATAAACTAAATGTAATAATCTTTCAAAAAACTTGTTCTCAGGAATCATACAACACTTCAGGTGGTTTGAAATACTGAAAACATCTTTTAATTGTAGAATTCTGTACAAACTTGGGTAGATACAGAAGTGGTCACGACAAAATGTGTTCTTATTGCCTGCAATTTTTCACAGAAATAGAAACATTGATGGCAAGCTTACTGACATCCAACATGATGAGATATCTTTAAACTTGCAAAATGTATAGACACAACAGCACTCCTAAGTAGTTTGTGTGTATTTGACTGTCCTTGAAGTCCTACTACTTACATACAAACCTCAAAATACAAAGAACAAAGATTAAGATTTTTAATGCACGTCACATAATAATGTAAAATGAAGCACAAAAAAAGGGTAAACAAAGTGTAATCCTGAAAATACACTATTTTTTAAACCTAGGGCACTGACTTATTCCAAGAATGATTTCCTGTATAGTTGGGTTTTAAGTGAGGCACACATTTTGTTTTCTGCACAGGACATCAATATCTGATGGAGGTACAAGAACAAATGGTAACAAACAAAAGGGAAAGAAACATAATCACAAGTGGAACTCAAACTCCATGCCAGTGTTCTCACAGCCCTAAGCAAAGCTATACATTGAAATATGCTACAACCACTATTCTCGTAAAAGTCCTTGGCACTTTTCCTCCGATAATCTTACTTTCAGTTTAAAAAAAAACACAAACGGAGCAAATTACATTTCTGCACCTATATAATAAGGCAAAACTATAAATGCAACTACAAGGACAAGGTACAAAAAAGCCCCAAGCCAAAGATAATCTCTACTCCCAGACCGCCAACTCTGAACTCCAAATGCTTGGTGAAATAATATCATCCTTCCTCCTCATCACTGTCTTTCATAGTAATGCCCTGAAGTCCTCCCGCGTCCGTGACTGAGACTGTGGCCTCCTCTACAGTCAGACGGCTGTGAACGGTATCGTAGGTTTTGCTGTTCAGTGTCCCCTCCAGCACGCCTTGCAACCTGAAGTCTCGGTAGGTTTTCTGTGTCAAAAATAAAACATCCTGAATTGGACTTGAGCAAGTCTAAGCAGTCTTCCACTATACACTGGCCATCTCTAGCATGCCAGCAGAACAGCTTAATTCCTCCTGCAGTTAGGGACCTATCATTTAGAGTTTGCTGAAGATTTTGCAGTCTTAGTTTCTGGGCTGCAGGAGATTTCCATAAACTCTAGGGACTCCACAGGCCACACTTTGATGGTCATTCCTTTAAGAGATTGTGTTTTGTACTACATTTCTACAACTGTATGCTGTTTTCTCAGTAACTTCCATTTGTCTCATTTATTCAATAAGAAACCAACAAATAATTTTTCTAACTGCATATTGAAATGTGAATTTGGCTACAGGTATTCTGTTGTTTCACAGAAAATGTAAATGTCTAACTTGTTCCCCATAATATTATTTTTTTGCATTTATCTTTACATTTATAAGCCAAGTGTGGAAAAATAAAATAAAGCTTTAGATTATGATCTATATTCTATTATGTAAATGTTTCTCAGGTGATTACTTCAGTCAGTCAATTTACATTCTAAGTCATCTACATTTTGCCCCACATCTACATCTTTCTGTTTTTTTTTTTTTTTCCCTTGAGAAAGTTTTGTTTCCCTGGTATCCAGCCTTCCTATGAACCAGCAGATATGACTTTCTTTTTTGACTTTCTATCAAGTAAGAATTCTCAGTGTAATAATTTTTTTCATTGATGCTATGCTCAAGTGAACATGTGAAAAATCATAATTTTTAAAAAAATTGTCACACATTTGAAATAGTCTTTGCTGAAGTTAGCCTAAAAAGCTTAAGAAGGACAAGTTGATCTAGCTAGTTTCTTATTTTGTGTACCCTGTTACTACAAGTTCCCAATGTTTATGGAAGAGACTATGGGAAAAAGAAAATGGAAGATAATTGAGGGCTATCAGGCCCATTCTTCTGCTGGGGGACACTGTGCACAAACCTTAGAGAAAGAAAAGAGTTGATCTTGTTTCACTTCTTTAGAGAACTGCAAAAGACATCTCTCAAAATGGGTAGCATTTAGCTGGGAGAATTTTTTCTGCCACTGTCTATGATGATTATTTAAACCTTGTCTGAATCACTGCAACTGAGATTTAGTTGACTTTCATAGGTCAGCCTCAGAGTCAATGGATGCAGCTTATGTTTTGCTCACACACTCCTGCAAGTACCGTGCCTGGTCTTTTTCAAGTATCACCATTGCATTCCCTTTTTATAACACTGTGCATTGAATTTCCTTTTATGCTGTTAACAGGTCCTACAGCAATTTCTTTCAGTTTTACATTGTATTCCTCCCATTCTCAGACCAGCACTCTGGGGTTCAGTCATGCTCTTCTCTTGACATACTTTTGCAGGATAATAATGTTCACTTCCAAGCTTAATTTTTCATTTCTCCCTAACTTTCCTCTTGGTCCTTGACCCTTCTTTAGTCACATCCCTCTGCATGTGTTTCAGACATCTAATGAAACCTTTATGCCATTATCCCTCAGTCCTGGCTTTAACAGGAACAAGCAATGTTTTCTTCTTCTGATCACTCTTAATAATGCCACTACCTTTGCTGCATCCAAACATGAAAAATAATCTATTTCTTCCTTGTCCCACATCCCTTAAAAATGACCTCCTACTTCTTTTTTGGAATATTTCCGAGAGATGACAGGGGCAACACAGCCTCCCAGTTTTCCCAAAAGCAAACAGAGAAGTCCCTCCATTCACTCTAGAGTTTGGAGGAACTGTGTCTCCCTAAGTGCCTCTCCTCAGCTGGTCTGCGGCAGTAAAAGCTTCTTATGATACTGTACTTGAACCATTGTTTCTGATTTCCCAGAGGTCTCCCATTGGATGACTTCCTGTTTTTCCCGTTCTGCCATCTTCACCCACCAAAGCACAGGTAGACAAGATTTCTGTCTTCTAGTACATTGACTGGTACCTCAATGACTGGCATTATTTTCTTCAATCTTCTGTATCCACAGAAGGTGCCGTGGAATAACACACTTGGAATTTATGTGCAAAGCAAGCCAGGTGTATGGGTACAGAAAAGCTACTGCTGTAACCAGGGCATTCCCATCATCACTGGGAGCCTACTGCTTTTGAACACAGCTGATCAGTGCGCCAGGATGCAGAAGGAAGGCTGGATGACAGTGCTGATCATTCACGTGAACTTCAATTGTATGCGAGCCTCTTCCTTTAACCTCGCGGATGTTATTTAACTGGTATAATTTAGTTTGCCCATTCTTAGATCTTACTGGGCACAGTTTTTGGATCCTATAACACTTTTTTTCCCACAGAGGATGATTACCTTCACTTGAGAAGAGCTTTAAACCTTTCACAAGAGCCACCCATTTCAACCACAAATAGCGAACTGCTTCTACCATTTTGGCACATAATATAATGATGAGCCAAATCCTGTTCCCAGAGAAATCAGTTAAGTCAAAAATAGCAAAGCTAAGCTGGGGTGGTTCCGGGAGCCATGATGACATCATTATTATGACTGTTTTCTTGCATCTCTTCCTCTTTTTTCCTTTTAACTACGGAATCCTGAAAGTTGTAGTTGCAATTCTAGTGTCCATGAGTTAAAATGCTTCTGACTTCACAGTCTTGCGTGAACTTAATGAAAAAATATTTTGAAGAAATCAAGGTCACCATTGACAGTAGGTGCTTTTAATTCCACGTTTATACAGATAAGAAGAATGTTCAGAGTTAAACAAGACAGAATAAAAAGGAATAAAATCTGAAATGGCTTTCTGTCTCTGGCCTAAGGGTATTAACTGAGATCTGAAAGGGAGGTAGGAGGAAATTTTCTTTTATGGTAGGTTAACCCATAATTGCCTATTGCAAGGTATTTTACACTTTGCTCGGAAGCATTTGACATTGGCCAGTGTAAATGACTGAGGACTGGACTGGAGGGATTGGTTTTCTATTGATACTTATCCCAGAGTATGAAAGATTAGAAAATGTTAAGCAATACATTGGATATTGTTTTGCAATTGAACCTAGTAATCACATGCACATGAGAAAGACAAAATAGTTACTTTTTAGGAGAATGGGGAAAATGGAGAAAGAATGGTATTGGGATTATTAAGGTAAAACAAAAAAAGCCCAGTAAAATGACAATAATTTATTAGGAATATTGTACAATGTTGCTGTACAGATAGCTCTAATCTGTTAAAATTCCTTGGAATAATTATAATTGTCACTGAGTCCAGAATGGAAGACAATTACTAGTGCACATATAATTAATATTAGAGGTTTTAATAAATTGTTGTTCTTCTCAAATTTGCAACTACTGTGGAAAAAAGAAACCTTAACCCGAAACTACATAAGCTTGCATCTCCTATTAGAAATTTTTTAACTTTTAGGGAATTATCCATGTTAACACTTCATCACTTTTCTCTCTTCACTATTCAGTCTAAGCCAAACACATTTTATTTACCTTCACTATCTTGATGAGAGTCTTCAGCTGGTAGGTGTGAAGCTGAAGATCTAATCTATCAGCCAACCACATGCATATGACTTTCATGGAGCTGCTATACCATTGCTGAAAAGAAGAATAAAAAAAAAAAAACAACAAAACAACCCACCAAACAACCCTGCAGTATTCATTTAACAGATTTGGTAATGAGACATAATGAAACACTTTGAAATGATCACGGATCAGCACTTGAAGTCAACAATGATATAATTTCCTGTTAAGAGAATTGCATGGGTCAGTAGGAAATCGAGTAACTTGACCTAGACTGTTCTTTACATGAATTAGCAACTGCCATTTTATCTTTCAGTTACAACATTTTCAAGCAAAACAGCGTTATGCACTTTGCTATCTGTCAGTAAGAATGGATATTAAATACACAAGTACATGAGAGGATTGACAGCTAAAACAGCAAGTGGAAAAACACAGGTAGGGGATCTTGAGAGAGATTTTGCTATATTTTCCAATCCAAACAGGAAAACAGCATCAAACATAGAATATGGAATCTGTCTTGCATTTTTGTTTTAAATAACTTCTTTATTAAGTAAAAAAAAAAAATCAGAAATCCATGGAAACTGGATTTAAGTATGATCAAAACACCAGTCCACCCCTCCCAAAATAAACACATTGAGGTTTTGTTTTATGTTAATTACTAATTATAATTACAGCCTACCTTATTTCCTTTTTATGTCTTAGGCATGGGTATGTTTTCACTCAAAGCTGCACAAATGGACGGGTAAGAATAAGCACTCTGCTGTTGGTGTCTATGTTACCACAAAAAATGCTCAACTCCAAATAGCCACTATAATAGTTCTTTCACATTAACTGGATTAGAAGAGATTTTACTAAACATAGTTGTAGCAGTTTTCTTCCCCCTCATGTAAGATACCATCCAGATGTCATTTAGTCAAACTGTAAAAAGGAAGGGATTTTTTTCTCTTTTAGTAGCAAGAGATTAAAAGAGTTTATGTCATAGCACTGTTTCTAGTCTCTTTCCCCACAGGGAAGAGGCTTAAATTCTTTTCTAATGTAATTTCCTGTGTCTTTACAAAACACACAGATATGCAAAGAGAGGAAACATTGTGCATATCTGAAAATGCAGCATGTTAGGCAAGGTATGCATCGTGAACTAATCCAAAGGAAGGATCTAACATCTCTCATGAGCCACCTCTACATTAACAAATAAAATACATATTGAAAAAATGAAGACAAATTACTGGCTACTGGATGTAACAAAAGACAAAAATAGAATTCTTTAATCAGAATGTAAGGTCTCTGGCAAAAGCTTTAAATACATACAATAAGTACAGGTAAATACTTTTTCCTTACAAGAAACAGTCTTATCTCATTCTATCAGTTTTAAGATAAGTTTGATATAAGAAATAGGATTTCCATATAAAAAGAACTTCAATTTATTTTGTTTAATGTGTTAAAATGTATTTTAATCATAAATCATTGGAAATAAGTTACTTTTAAATTTTTTAGAGTTTCTCTTATTAATGTACTATTTTATAGAAGTGAACAAAATCACCACACAAAATGCAGACAGCCGCACATTTCCTAGAAGTAGCTTGATTTATTTAATAAAATGTGGGACTGATTTGGTGTCCATAAAATATTGGCTTTTTATCACTGCATGACATTCTTAAGCTGTTTACATTATTTCACCCCAAACACGCATGCTGGTTTTGATTTCCTTTATAAGTACCTGTAAAATATTTTTAATGTGACAGAGTTGTTACTAAGTGGCAGCTGTAAACTATATGACAGGTGTTATGCGTATACAGATGTCTAGAAAATAAAACACAGTTGAGCTTATTCACTTGGGGAAATCTATCAATCTGGTAAACGTAGAAATTCATATGCCAAGCATTCTACCCAGAATATCTATTGTTATTTGCAATAAGATGAACCCAATTATTATATTATCACTCGGACTCTACAGTTGTTAATCTTCAACATAATAATGGCAGACAGAATGGATTTAGTAGCGGAGTTTTCTCAAAACTGATATTCTTCCATAAGAAAACCCAATACCACATCCACGATGCATTTGGTTTGTATTAAGGAGAAAGCAGAAGGGGCTCAAACTTGCTCACACGAACAAACAGGACTGAAAATTCTGTGACTGGTTTCCCCATGTAACACCACTGAACGCTGCCAGATCACTGAGAACAGACCCAGTCCCAGTTTTCTGTCAAAACGTGTTTTAAAGCCCAGCCAGATAACTTAAGATGGATGCAGTAAAAATTAGACTCTCCGTACATATCTGTGATATGCTTACATGCACTGAAAACAGAGATAAAAAATTGTAGGGAATGAATTTTGTTACTCAAATTTGTGAATGAAAATAATATAATATGTTTTCCTGACTAATTTTGATACGTTAAACTTTCAGTATAAATGTTTAATTTGTTGATTGTGAAATAATACTACGGTACTTGCTCCTCTGTCAGCATACCTTGTTCAGAAAAAATATGACTGCTATTGTATTAGAAAAAGATTATTTTGAATTGTCACAGTATTTTTAATAAAAATCATATCCAGTATATTTTTAGAGTCCTCCTAGAGGTACTTGCACTAGTTTTGAGAACTTAGTATAGGCTGAAGCTGCATAAACATAAATCTGCTGGACTGCATAAGAAGAAAAGTAAATATTTCCCTATTGCTTCTTTTGGAGCCTGTTACAATGCACAGCACTGCAAATGCCTCTCAGAGGTAGAATCCAAGGCCACACATTTTGACAACCATGAACATGTTATAGAGGCAGCGATGCATCTTCTGTGACTTATGGGAATCTACTGCAAAGTCAAAAGCTTCAGCGATTAGATAACGGTTCCGAGATTACACAGTTTTTAAGTAATAATAATAATAATAACAACAACAAAGTCCTTCTAACTGTTTTTAAGAAAAAGTCACTTTCCTGCTAGTAACAACAGCACTGAAAGGACTTGCAGTGACATCTTGCAGATGTCAATGATATATTAGTGCCATAGTCTTTGCTGTTATCTATGCAAGAATAAAGCAGTACGTGTATATTATATATTTTTTTCACATCAGCACATAACAGCAGCCAACCACTTTAACAAAAAATATGTTTGCCTCCCTATTTTCCCCTCTCTTCTTATTCATAGCTCATCCAGCTCCTGTAAGGGCATGCATTACTCACTTCATTTTCCTGAGATACCTCTTTTAAAGTAAAAAATAAGAGAAAAGGAAAGGCTAGGGTTGACTCTGTGAGACCTCTGTATTTATTCACACTTATTGTGCATGACTGTAGACTGGTAAATCATATTAGCAGCCCGTCTCCCCATCAAGCTGCTACTTGCTTTCCAGCCCTGGGAAGGTTCAACAAATCAACAGGAGCACGGAAAACAGAACATCAGTCTAATCTAGTGTTTAAGGTGAAGTTTTCAAACCCAATCTAAGAAGATCTTTAGAGCAAGCAACAAGCTGAAGGGCTCAGAAGGTGGTATTGACAATGAAAGAAAAAGAAGCGCAGCACTTGTGCATTTTTAATAACAAGAGGGTCAACAAGGACACAGCTCCCTCAGTGCCAATAGTTGCCACACCAGGGCTATAAACGCTCTCAGTTCATCAGATTTCTTAAACAGTTCATCAGCTTTCTTAAACACCCTAAACCCCCTCAGCGGACCTTTAGTCTTAAATTAACAAACCAAAGCAATGAAAGAGGGTGCAGCTTGAATGGCCAGCATTGATCCCCAACGGGGCTCGGAGCGGCTACAGGCACTGAAAAACTCGCTCCATTGTCGGGAGGAATTGACAAACCTCCTCGCCTAAATAGTCCAGCTGAGGCAGGCTGGAGGCACGCAGCTGTAAAGGGCTCCCCTCGCCCCGCTCCCAGCGCTCACAATGCGCCAGGCATGAGCTCTTTGTCAGGCCCAGACTCTGCAATTTTCTAACAAGGATTAAAGTTGTTTCTCGGCAGGGCCAGTGAAAAGCGATTTAGCAACATACCGTGCTTTCTTCAGGCAAGTTAAAGAGAAGTAGTTAAGGAATTTCATTATTCTGTTGACTGGTGGAAATACAAAACAAATATATTAAATATTCGCCACCTTTCTGGGTGCCTGAGCTATAACATTTGCAGAATGGTTCAATTAAATATAACACTTATCGGCTGAAAGCAAGCCCTTCAGATTCATTTTTGAAGTTTTATAAAAAGGTGCAGCTGTTTGCCACCTGGAAGGAGGCTCAATACATACTCATACACAATGCTTTAGTCCTTTTAGGGCTGGTATCCCTGACGCCTGGGATGCGAGACCCCGTCAAGTTTCTATATCTTGCCTGCTCTCGATAAATGGGCACTGTCAAAATGCTTTTTTTGGTTAAACATGGCAGGGGGAACAGCTTTTCTAGGAACAGTATTTTATCTTCCTACCGAAGCCTTTATCACACTATTGATCAGGAACGGCATCATCGCTCGGATGACAAACAGGATGTTTTTACTTCCTCCAGCTCTACTTTTCCTACCAGGGACAATCATAAAAAGTATTATTTTCACTGAAGAGATTGTTACATCAAAGGCAGCATAACCTAAATTGTATAAGAAATACTATGAACATGTTAAATATTAAAAGCTGAAATGCCTAGTTTTTATTAAAAGGCAATACTATTATATTGTTTCAAGATTCTGATAGCTGTAAATAGTAGTATGCCAAGGAACTTTTAGAACATTTAAAAAATGTTAAATGGTGAAATACATTGTTCCTTAAAAATGCAAACACAAAAAGTTACAAAAAAGTTCCTGATTTAAGTTTAATACTTTATTTTCCTCTTTGTGAAATATGAATAATCACACTGACTTCCTTTGTTGAAGGTTAGTGATAATGAGGGAAACAAGTGTTATTTCTAGTGTCTTTGAAAACACTCTGAGGTTTAGAAGTCATAGCTGAATTTTCAAGTTTAGGTATAGACATAATCCACTTAAATGAGGATTTTTACCTGCGCAGTGCTGAGTTAACACACTCTTCTGAAGGCTGGAAAGCCTCAGTAACTCTTAAAAAAAACCAAACCTGGGGAAAGATTTCTCAACCTGTGGTCCACCACTA